GGTTCCCTGTGAAAATAACATAAAGTTCACAGGGTGTGGTGGAAGTTTATTTCCTTTAGGTGTAATTTCTTTGAAACTTGTTTTTCCGCACTCGCAAGAATCAGTAAGGATTGATGCTGAATTTGTAGTTATGGAAAACTCACATACCAAATATCTCATAATAGGAGATGAGTTTTTATCCATGTATGGAATAGATATTTTTCATAGTAAAGATAAATACTTCACATTTGGAAATGATGTCAAGAAAAAGAAATTTGGACTTCCAATTCAAAGACCAAAGTTGACAGGACTTGTCTTTAAAAAAAAAGAAGATATAGAAACTCCGCAAGATGAGAGAATTCCTGCAATTGAACCGGTTAATGCAACTCCGCCATTAATGGAGAGTATCAAAGAAGCCAAGTTTAGTCCCAAGCTCACAGAGAAACAACATGAACAAATTGTCAGATTGATTGCTAAATTCAAAGACTAATTTGGGTTAGGGGATAGCCCACTAGGAACAATTGACAAACACAAAGTGAGTATTCAATTGAGTATTGACAAACCATACCCACCTATATTGCGGAAAGCAGCTTATCCAGCTAGTCCTAGGAATAGAGTGGAGATTGAAAAGCATCTTGATGAATTATTGAAACTTGGTGTAATTCGTAAAGTTGGAGAATCAGAGGAAGTCGACATTACTACACCAGTAATCATTGCATGGCACAATGGGAAGTCTAGACTGTGTGGTGACTTCAGAGCACTGAACACATATACATTACCTGATAGATACCCCTTACCAAGATGTGACCATGTGCTGATCAATCTTGGTAAGGCAGTATACATTACAACTATGGATGTATTCAAAGGTTTCCATCAAAATGTTATAGACGAGGCATGCAGAAAATTTTTAAGAATTATCTGCCATATGGGTATCTTTGAATATCTGAAGATGCCCTTTGGAATCAAGAATGCACCAGCTTTCTTTCAAAGGATGATGGATATAGAATTCAGCAAAGAACTGCGAGAAGGATGGTTAAAAATCTTCATTGATGATATTATCATATTCCATGATAACTGGGAGGACCATGTCAAAGCTATTGAAAAAGTTTTGATTAAAGTTAAGGCTATGGGGATGACAATTTCTTTGAAGAAAAGCAATTTTGGTTTCCATGAAGTCCGAGCACTAGGACATTTAGTATCCGGACTATGGATTTCAATTGACCAAAACAAGACAGCAGCAGTGTTGCATAAACCTCCACCACAAGGCATCAAAGACATGCAAAGCTTCTTGGGGTTTGCTAGCTATTATTGAAATTTTTTAGAAAATTATGGTAAAGTTGCAAATTGCCTGTATAAATTATTTGCCAAAGGTGTTTCCTTTGAAATGACCGCTGAAAGAATTCATGCATGGAAAAAGATACGACATATGATTACCACAGCACCAGTTTTATTGCAACCGGATTTCACTAAACCGTTCAGATTGTATGTTGACGCATCATTTGAAGGACTAGGTGCTGCATTGCATCAAGTACAAGTTATTGATGGTAAATCCAGGGAGGGCCCGGTTGTATTCATATCCAGGCAGCTCAAAGACAGTGAAACCAGATATGGTTCACCACAATTAGAAGCACTCGCATTAGTATGGGCATTGGAAAAGTTACACTACTACTTAGATGGCGTGTACTTTGAAGTGATTACTGATTGTACAGGAGTGAGATCTTTGATGAACATCAAAACTCCAAATAGACACATGTTAAGATGGATGTTGGCTATTCAAGAATATTTTCCATACATGACTATTACACATAGACCAGGTAAAATGCATAACAACGCAGATGGTCTCAGCAGAATGACCTTGCCAAATGATAGCAGTAATCCTGCGTGGGATCCAGAAGACGCAGAGATAGACATCCCCGTCATGGGATTAAGTTTGGCAGAACTCAGCACTGAGTTCTTTGAAGAAATCAAAGAGAGCTATAATACTAATGTGAATACAACCAAGTTAGTATCAATGATGTCCAAAGACAAAGCTAATTTAAGTCTAGCAAGTAGTCTTGAGTCACCATGGAAAGAATTGTATGCAGAAGGGAAATTCTCATTACAATCCGGACTTTTATACTTCAGAGAGAAGCATAGCTCGGTAGTTGTTCTTGTTTCAGAAAAACACATTGAACAGATACTGCAGACATGTCATGATGAATTTCTATCTGGACATATGGGGGTGGACAGGACTCTAGAAAGAGTGAGTACCACAGCTTGGTGGTTTCAGTGGAAATTGGACACAGAGAAATACGTCAGTAGCTGTGACAGATGCCAAAAAGCAAACAAAGCTACAGGAAAAAGGTATGGTCTCCTACAGAGTATTGAGAAACCTACATATCCTTGGCAAGTAATTAACATGGACTTTGTCACAGCATTACCACCAGGTGGCAGAGACAACTACAACTCGGCTTTAGTTGTTGTAGACTGATTTTCAAGACGAGTGAGATTTTTGCCGTGCTACAAAGAATCTTCAGCAATGGATATTGCTCTACTCTTCTGGGAAAGACTCATTAGTGATGTAGGATTACCAAGGGTCATAATCAGTGACAGAGATCCTAAATTCACATCTGAATTTTGGAAAAGCCTGTTTGAAATCATGGGAACAAAATTAGCTTTCTCAACAGCATACCACCCGCAAACAGACGGTTTGGCAGAAAGATGTATCCAAACATTTGAAGAAATGTTAAGGAAATTCTGTGCTTTTGGTCTTGAATTTAAGGATAAAGATGGGTATACGCATGACTGGACAACCTTATTGCCAGCATTAGAAATTGCATACAACACCAGTGTTCACAGTTCTACCAACAAAACACCTTTTGAGATAGAAAGAGGTTTTTGCCCTAGGTTACCTAAAGACAAATTTAAGAGTAGAGATGTAGAAATTCACCCAACTTCTCTAAGTTTTGCCACAATGATAACAAGAGCAAGAGAATTTGCAAATCAATGCATCAAAGAAGCAGAAGAATACAATAAAGAAAGGTGGGATAAAACTCATAAGGAGCCAAACTTCAAAGTTGGAGATCAAGTCCTGTTATCAACAGTGAATTTCAACAACATACAAGGGCCAAAGAAATTAAGAGACCCTTTTGTTGGACCTTTTGTCATATCCAAGCTTGTAGGACCCAATGCAGTGGAACTGATATTGCATGGAGAACTAGAAAGAAAGCATCCAGTCTTTCCAGTATCATTAATAAAGAAATACAATGATCCAACAAGAGACAAGTTCCAAAGAAAAACCAAAGTGGTAATTCCACCCTTTGAACCAGAAAAAGAAAAGCAGTTTCTTAAAATTCTTTGAGATAAAAGAGTGAAGAATAAAGACAATAAAGACAAAGTTCTATACCTGGTAAGGTACAATAATCATGGAGCAGACTCAGATGAATGGTTACCAGCGGACAAAGTCCCTAACTCCAAAGTAAATCTTTGAGCTTTTCGAGCAGCAAGGAGAGATCATACTCAATGAAAATGGTATGACCTCCTTTGGTGGTGGGGAATGTCAGCCCCGAGCCCTATAGCTAGTACCAAAGGGCTGAAATATAATAATAAAATAATAAAAATAATACCTACAACTCATGGCTCAGTTTCAAGAGCCAATTACATATGAAATTACATATAGTTACATATGTAATGACATATGTAAGTACATGTAGATCAATACGAGAGATTACACGAAGTAATATAACCTTTTCACAAGGCTTATCACATGAGTAACACAAGAGTTACGCATGTGTGTAATAAATGTAATAATTAAATAATTAAAATATGATTACATACTGCAAAAGAGTATGTAATCCAACCACAAGTTGTGCGTAAGGGATTTTCTGGGTTGTGAGTATATAAAGAGCTCTCCCACCCGCCAGGAAAGTCCATGATCATCATTACATATCATCAAATTATCAGTAAACATCATCAATCAGATAAATAAGAGTCCTTGTCCTCTTTCATTAGACATTGTATATTTCTCTAATTGATCATTGCTTTTGTTATTTGTAGAAGTTCTTTTGAAGACTTCTTTCAGGAGGTGATCCTTGCAGTACTGCTCAAGTTATTAAGGGAATTCAATAACTTGAGAAACTCTAAATTCACGGGAGTTCCTCTGTGTTCAGAGTTTAAAGAACTTTAAATATCACTAGGTGATATTTCCCTCGTTTAATAAACTCTAGAGTAGAGTGTTATTAGCTTGGGCACGAAACTAGACTGTAGTTTCTACTCTTATTCCTGCTAGAAGACTCCTGTCTTGCATTAATTCCCGGAGAGATATCCAAAACCCTTTGTTAAAAGGTCAATTAACTGAAGTCAGTGCTGATTTGATCACACTACTTCATTAATCACTTTGTTTAGAACCTTAAACAAAGATCTCACGCGCTTAACAAACCTAGTTTGTTAAGCAAACCTTATTCTTTAGTGTTTTACTAGCCCAAAAGAAGCTAGTAGCTCACACTTGTAGACAACGAGAGTTTTTGCCAAGTACAAAGTCTAAACGTTCAAGATGCATCAGTATTCAAAAAATTATCATTCAATTGTGAGATGAACTTCCGTGATTCTTGATAACAATCAGGAAGCTTCCAGGTTTGATAGGGTTTGTGGGCTTGATTTCCCTGCCTTCGAGGAGCCCTTGCAAGTGGACTTGACCAAAGGCTGCAGAGTCCTTGACGATCCCAGATAAGTCTATCTTCACATTTATATTCCACCGGTGCCTACGTGCTTCGCCCGTGGGGATTTCTTCCAAGTTTTTGAAGCAGACAGCAATGATCTTCGAGCAAGCACTTGGTTTAACACCACCTCTCTTTGTCTTACTTGTCAATTCCAAAGCCAATTCGTCAGGATGATTGATGTTTTGTTCATTTCCCTTATGATTTACAACCTCGCTATCGTGACGTTTCCGGATTGCTATTAAATTGGCACCAATGAGCTTGCCATCCATGACTAGTGGTCCAATAGCTATATCGCTTTTTGAGTCATGAGATTGTTGGCGATGCTTATCTGAAGCTACAAAAGGAAGCAAGAGATGTGTCAGTAAATATGTTTAGGGAACTCGCCTAGACAACATTGATGCTACTTACACGCCGGATTGAGCAGATTCGATATAGACATTGCTGCGTTTTGCAAGCTTTCACTTTCTGAATCATCGGGCAAAGTTTCCAGAAAAAGGTCTACCGAGTTCTGTTCCTTGGTCAAGTGAGCAGCGGCTTCCAGCGCTTGCTTTTCGCGCATTTCACCTTCCGTATATCCATACTCGATATTGTAGTGTTGAGTGGCGCAAACAGAGATATCTAAAACCAAAGGATTGGTCATCAATGGTCATCAATACATGTAAAGACAAAAGGATAAACAATTACCTGATAAATTTTCAGGCAAGTTTTCAGCCACCTCATCCAGGTCTGGGCCCGGAACGTCCTCGATCAGAGATACCAGTGACCCCATTCCAGCAATCAGGGACAGTTGATTGGCTCGCTCGTGGGCAATTGCTAGATCCTCGGAAATTTCTTCATCAGTTGGAAACTTGGCAAGAAACTCAAGAAGATTGTTTTCAGGCTCATCCGAAAACGCATACTGGTATCCAGAATGCATGTGTTCGGAAGGTGGTATTTTCATTTTCCCTGACATGATGTTTTTGACAATTGCATGGATTTTTGGCAACATCATTCTAGCATCCAGAACAGTGAATCTTGGGGATATAATACGCATCCAGCCAAAGATGTGTTCACATGGTTCACTACCATGTTTCCAAGGGAGAAAAGGAGTGGTCGGATAGAATTCTCGGTGAGCTAAGATGAGCTGAAGCAGGGAGGTCGCAAGCGTTGAGAAAATCTTGAAGCTCTGAGGCGAAATGCAGTTTTGAGCAAAGCTCATCAGTTTGTTAGACTCGGATTGTCGTTTTAAAAGATACGTTTTCCATTGTCGCAAGAAAAAATCAGCAGTCCAGGCTGATCTTAGACGTTCTCGATGACCAATCCATCGATTCAACCAGGCATCACACATCTCGCCTATCACAAACAGGTAGATTGACAACCCAATCATGTCATCATCAGCCAAAGAGACCGCCAAGGTTCTGGAGTTCAAGGTTCAAAAAGCTCGGCCCTCGTCCTGCTTGTCGCAGTCAAAGACATCCTTATGAAGGAGAGGGCTCCAACCAGACTGGAGGATAGCAGCTATCTGCTGTATAGATATATGATGTTGACCAATGACGAGGAGGCGTGCTCAAGAGCTCAACTGATTAGTGCCAGTCTTACGAGCGTGCTTCGGGCCTTGGACCATCACTACTGGTCGTGGTGGATGTCCAATCAGAGGAACCTTGACGTGTATGTTATAAGTCGGGTTTGAGTAAGATATATATTGAGTAGCCGTTTCCGCAAGCATAGTTTGAGCGCAGAGTTCAGTCGGTGCGCCATCGGCTCCAATAGAAAGGATGTTGATACCAGCATCTTGAGATAATTCCAAGAATTTCTTATGATTTTCAAGTATATCTTCTGAAGTCTCCTTGTAGCAACTAGCAATAAGTGCCACTACAAATGTTGGGACGTTAGGCAAAGGAACCTGTAAAGTGTAGGCTCGTATCTGGTGGAAGGAAATAGATAGATTTCAGCAAATCTACCCGCCTGTTTGAAGGAAAAAGGAAACCACAAAAAAGTAAAGCACTTACTTTAGAACAAAGTTCCTTGTTCTTGATTACGTCTTTTACCAGTTCGGGGAGCTCAGAAGGATCACCAAAAGGAATATCCCCTCCTTGCGCGCCAACCAAACAGCCATTATGATATCAAAGGCGCTTGACACACACCGTTTGATTGGAAGCTGCTGCTACTGGACCAGAATAGCCAAGATCTTTCAAGACTTGAGTGATACGTTTGAAATTGTCAAATTGAATACCATCAAGGAGTTGCATTCCTTCTCTGGCTCGGATCATTCTGAGACTTCGAGTGCTACGTCCCGCAAAGTTATCGTTGAAGAGATTCAGAGCGCGCGGGCTGATAGCGCCGAGCGTCATGACAAATTTGTCGAGGCACGAATCAATCTTCATACCTCGGGTAGTCTTGCCGGCATTCTCGCGTTCAGCTTTGACTGCAACAGCCTTGATCAACCCGCGTGTTGCATCCCGATTGGCAAATAAGCCATTTCAAGCTGAGGCAGCAAGAACCGTGCAAAACTCGGAGAAATTGCCCTTTGAAGCCTTCTCAATCGAAGTTGACAAGAGACGTGCATCTTTAGACTTTAGTACTGTAGGTGTAAATGCGTTGATGTTATCTGACATGTAGTTATCGCGGCCGTACTTCATCGTTTCAGCTTCAGCATACTTCATATTTAGGGCTTTGATCAAGCTACGCAGATGTTTGAGGTCTTCACAAGCCGGACAGACCGCGTTCTTGATGGTTTTCTTGGCCATGAAAGTTTTACTACACTGGCTAGAGTAGATTGAATTGCGGTCTCCGTGGCGCTTGATCTGCCATTTCGATCGAGCATCTAGAGTAGTGATCAATTGAGATTTCTGAGCAGGAATCAACTTGCTCTCTTGAGCAAGTTGGCCGAAAAGTTCTTGGCAGATTTCGTGTCGAACGTTGCCACGATAGATCGAGAAAGATCTTGTGACGAAGGTTGCAATGGACTGTACAGCTCGGTCTCGTTTCCATGTATCGTCGTTGAGTCCCGGACAGTCGATTTCAATCGTGTTCTTAGCAGTTACCGACCTTCCAAAATAAGATGTTACCTCGGTAGTCTCCTTGAGATCATCAGTTTTCTCTTTGCATGCCTCTGTTACAAAAAGAACATCAAAAATAAGTAAAAGAAAATCAAAAATCCGTACCAAGATGAACTATTATCAATAGCAAAATCACTTACCAGAGGCCCAGTGATTTTTCGCAACTCTAACACGACCACCGTTTAGCCAGATTCTTTTGGCACCACAATGGCAAGCAAGATCTTTGCCTCCAGGGCGGTCTTCCACCTGGCATTGGGAGCAGTTCTCGCCGGGTTTTGATAAAGGGCACAGTTCGATGATCTTGTGTTTCTTCGGGAAAGAACCTCCGGTAAGATTCTTCAGGAAAGTACCTCCGATGAATACCGGATCACTGTCATCGTCTGATTTGTGGTGTTTTTGATCGTCAGAGGATAAAACTATGATTGTCGATTGCTTGGTACTAGTAGAAGCTGTTTGTAGCTGCTTGGATGGACGCTGTAAGGTCTCAGAGGTCTTTGAGCCGGACACCACTCGGCGTTTCTCGCGGGTAGGTTGTTCGTCAGGATTCTTATCGACAGCTCCCGCATCTGATTCGAGTTGTATATAGTAATGTCAAATCAGTTACATACACAAATCTTGAATCATCAAGACTGCTAAAGCTAAAAACTCACCTATAAGCGCGGTTATGATGTTGTCGAGCTTGATCTTGACAAGTTTGTCAGAATCAGCATCCCATGTGTGATGCTTTCGAGCATCCTTGATCCATATGACCACCATCGGAAGTCCAAACCGCCCTTTCGATATGTTTTGATTGATACAATCAATTCCGTATACAGTATCAAGATTGCTGTTTACTGAATACCACATTCCTTCATCGGGATCGGCGACTGCAGCATTAGAGAAAGTCATGTAGGTTGGATCTTTACGAGTCCCTTCTCGAAGACCAGGGCAGTGGTTACGCAGCTCTTCAATCTTTTGTAGAGTTTCATTGAATGATAACATTTTTCACGCGGGTTTACCTGGGTTTACAGTGGGTGTATGCAGGGCAGCGGTGTTTGAGGGCGTTTGTGGCTGTTGTTGGATCTTTGTGAATTGATGAATAAGCTTTAAAAAGTTTGTTTATCAGGATTTTCAGGATTTGTTTGGAGAAGTGCGAAGCTTGCGGATGTGTGAATTGATCGAGAGAGGGGGCTTGGGGAAACCTAACCCTAGAAAGTCCCCTTCCAGGTCACCCACATTAAATCTTCAAACCTCAAAAGTCCCCTTTCACGTCACCCACATTTTGGTGAAATTTGGCCAAAAGTCCCCTTTTTGGTCACCTACATATGACCAAAAGTCCCCCGAAAAGACACCTTTTCCGTCACCCACATCGACCGGTGCATTCCAGGGTCCTTCACGTGTACTATTTTGCCCTTGCTTTAGGGCTTGTGGACGACCGGTGTCGTCTTTGGTGGCCATGCGACGAAGTGCCTCACCTAATAGACCACTTGTTTCAGGACCAATGCATGCTGGGACTTTGTTTGAATTCAAGATGACTGCATTCAAATCCCAACACATCAGCATAGCAGATCAACGCAGGGGAGTTCGGCCCACTTCAGTCTGTCAACAAACTGGTCCGACTTCAGTCAGAATTGACCTAGCCATATTGAACCTTCAGGAGTTCAAAGACGCAGTTGCTGACTTGGCCGAAGGATTTCATTTGGGCTGTAGAGATTTGTTTAAAGAGGCCGATCTTAAGGGCACCATTGATTATTTTGGCTGGGTTACTAATAATCCAAGCTTTCCAAAGGGTCGTCAACAAAACATTGGCAAGGATGTTGATTTTGAACGCTTCAAAGTGGTGGTTTCTGAAAATCGAGGGAAATCAATGGGAGTTACTGCTACAATGATTGACGAGAATGCCAAGCCAAGGAAGAATCGTGCCGTACAAAATGTGAGTGTTCATCTCTTGCTGGGTCCGCTCCCCATACCCTCCACCACACTCATACCCCTGGTGCATTTCAGGCAAATTCTTTTGATCGTCTCATGCTGGCAGATAATCCTGGAGCCAATCCCGAAAGGGCTCGCAAGCTGGCCTTGAATGCAATCAATCTACAGGCTGATTTAACCGAGATACGCACAGCGCTCCAGACCCGCTATGGAAATAGTGGTCATGCGGGCCATCGTGAGGGGATGACTTGCTATGATCCCGAAAGACCCAAGTTCATGATGAGACTCACATACCCAATGTTGGATGTTTGGGCCGAGTTAATTGTAAGTCCATAGAAATACCTCCCATTTATGCGTCACTCATTGCTATGCTCTGATTTCTTGTCATCAGGCTGCTGGCAAACCCGGTGTGACCCTGTTCCGACCACCAGTGGGACTACCTGGATTCGAGTGGGTACTGAAGTCAGGCAAGCCAACCGGGATTCCAGCAGACTCTCTCACTTTGCCTTCAAGTGTTCCTGCCCAATCACAATCAACATCTCCAGCTCCACAACCCTATCCGGATTTCGAAGACTACCTCACCTTCTGCCGCATCCCAGAAAACAATGGCACTACCCGAGATGTTCTGAAAAAACTTCAAATAATTGAATTCGATGAATTTTTCTCTGCCGAAAACTTGATTGATTTTCTCAAATCCCAAGGGATAGGGCACGGACCTGTGGTCCGTTTGTCAACAAAGGCTTCACAGTATCGCCAGGACCTAAAGTCTCGTCAGGCTTGAGCTCAGCTGAACCACTTAATCATCCAATCCACTTGAAACTGATTGTTCTCAGCGGATCAAAAACTCAATGTTTATCTTATTCAATTTCCTTGATCTGAATCATTCTCGATCCATTTGTTAACAATCAAACCACTGGATGGTTTTCAAAAATCATCATTCGATCTCATCTTTTTGAATCTTATCGATGTGAACTTTTCTCGATTGATCTATACGCGGATCGAATCATATCAAACCACTCGATGGTTTTCAAAATCAATTGATCAAAATCCATCAAAGTTCATCAAGATGGCATCAATCATCATTTTATCTCATTTTTTATCTTATCGATGTGAATTTCAGATCTTATCGATGTGAATTGTTCTCGATCGATTTATACACGGATCAAATCATATTCATCAATTGACATCACATTTCAAATTGTTAGGATGATATAAAGTCTATCTGTTTAATGGAATGTATAGGAATGTGATAATTTTGTGTTTGCTTATGAGAGAGAGCTGGTCTCTATTCAGTCAATTTTCATTCATTCTTGGATTAAATCTGAATCAATTGAACAATTGATGAATGTGAGTTGAGATCATGAGCATCAGTGAGTAGTGGTGAGTGAAGCACTTGTAAAAATACGATAAAGTGGATGGATGATTAAATATCATTAGCCATTTGATCTCGCCATTCGATCTCGATCAATTGAAGCCGAGGAGACAGACTCGCTTTCACAAGTGTACTGTAGAGCTGGTCTCTGTTCTACAGTACAATTGACACTCATCTTTCATTTGATGAATTTGATGAATTTGATGATCTTGAGCAGATTGACTGGATGAGCATTGGTAATTTGATTAATGCTTAATATGCATCTGATCTTAATCAGATCGAGCCCATTACACTCTGTTTTGGTTTTGGCTCATTTGTCAGAAGATGCAAGCAAACTTCTTTTGACTTTGTAATAGTCTGTGAATTATTGATTGTATTTAATCAGTGGAGTAGAAAGCTAAAACACAGAAAGAAGTAAGATAGAAAAGAACCAGCAATCTTAAGCAGGCTGATGGCCCCCTCCTCGGATTAGAGAAGTCATTATTTCAGCAGTAAATAACTCGCTGCATGTCTTCAAGAGACATCTTCCTTTATCCAAGGCCCGTTTAAAATCACCTGAGCGTATTAAGAAGGCCTTCATAACCCACCAGGCTTTTTCAATCGGATTCTTGTCAGGCGAGAAGGTGGGCAGATAGACAAGAAGAACACCAGCGTTCCAGCACAGGTTTTCGATGTTGCCTCGCTTGTGGATAGGCGCATTGTCCATGATGAGGACTGAGTTGATATCGGGGTATCTATTCATTCGGGGAAGCTGAGTCAAAATATGATCAGCTCGTTATAGTATAGATAGAGAATAGATGAAGTTGTAAAGTACTCACCAATACGAACTCCAGGAAGGTTTCAAAACCTTCCCGATCAAATCCGACCTCAACAACAGCTCCAGCTAGAAATCCTTGCTCGCAGATTGCGCCACACAGAGTCCAGTGCTCTCCTTCACGTTTCCGACGAAGACGATGTCCACGTTGACCCACTGGTGCCCGAAGGTGAGTGCGAACGACATCACGTTCATTCACGCCAACCTTGTCTAAAGAGAGGGGTCAGCTGAAGAAGACATTGACATAAAATAAACTGCACTCACCGAGGAAAACTAAGTACTGGGAAGGCAGGTTAGCAACCCTTCTAGCATACTCGGCTCGCTGCTCTTCGGACTGCCGAGGATCAACAGTTTGACCTTTCTTCAAGCTATAGTTAAGCCGTTTGGTGATGGTGGATTGTAAGGTTGAAATGCATGGCTTTTTCTCAGTGAGGTCCTCCAAGATGTCGCTGATCTCATCCAACATCAGGGTCGAGTCCTCTTCAAGGATTTCAAATATCAGTTGAAGATCGTGTTCATTCAATGCATAAGGTGGGCCAGTGCGTAGGTAGGTTGCTTTGTCTCGGATCACAGAACCAGTTTCGAGTAAAATCTTTTGCCATCGCTGAGTTGAGCGCTTACAGACGTTGGTCATCAGTTCACGATTGGCATCAGCCAGTGAAACTCCGGATATCTTTTTCTCGGCATGGCGGCTCTTGATCTGAGTATCGTAGTGGACAAAGGGCATATTGAATGAAAACTGGTTCTGGAATCAATTTGCAATTGGTAATACTAATGCTCTTCATAGTGATTTGTGGGTGATGCTATAAACCCATAGGCCATTTGAAATTTGAGTTAGGTTAAGAGTTTGCTAACTTTCTTTTTTCAAAAGATTGCGACAAGCAAATCCGGAATGGCTGTACCTTTATGATGGTTGAGCAATATTCCTCTTCACATGTGGCAATTCTTCGAGACTGCACACCTTTGACCTGTAAGACAATTGAATTTGCGAATCTCACATAGTACATCTCAAGGAAAATTCAACTCAAGACCCGCGAAGGTATACAACAGTGTACAAGTAAAGCTCGAGGAAATTCACTTTGAGGAGCTTCGAATATGACGGCGTTCTTCTTTCGCAGCGACTCATTGACCAAAGCAAAAACACAAGTGTCTATATGCAAGGAAGAGCCAGCGAAGTGTATAATTGAGTATATGGCCTGTGGAAAAGGAACGAACATGTCAGCCGCGTATCTGTCCTGATAACTGGATTCTTAATCATAGTAAACCAAAAGGTTAACAGGTCATTCAGACAGCAATTCCGGAGTGGAATCTAATATTGGTTGAGGATCAAACAATTCCCTGAAAGACGTGTTGATTAGACAGAACGAATTTCTTGGATGTCATTTGATTTCTCGTGCTTCCAGTGGCCCAACAAGTCATATGTATCCCAAGTCAGAACAGCAGGTGTCAACTAACAAATCAGCAATCCAGTTGACTTCCTGATATCGGTTTTCTGGATTGTCTTGCGTTTGTACCTTCCTACCATAGGGTAGGAGGGACAACACTGGAAGGAATAGCCAGTAACCTGATGAAAGGAAGCTCTGGATACTGTACCGTGCAACTTTCATTTTATGTGGGGACTTGAGGGTGTATTGGGAAGACCGTTCGAAGGTTGAATAAAAAATAAGGCGAGAAAAAGGTATATCGCAAGCACGAACCCTGTATGGTGAAGTAAAACCTACTTGATATCGAACACGCATGGTTTATGTACTTTTGCCATCGTCGGACCGCTCATCTAATCGCGTGCGCGGCCACTTCTGACCCATTCAAAGGGCCTCTTCAAACACCGGCAATTGCGTCGATCAAACTATCGAACTTCTTGCTTTTGATAGGAGGGGCGAGAGCTATCAGATTCTCGGGTGGTGATTGCGTGAATGGGTTTGACAGATAATGTATATATGCCGAATGCAAAGACCGAAAGATCTACAGGTTCAGGTAGCTCTCAGTCGTTCAGTCAAAACTCTAAATCATCGATGAGACTGACCGCCTTGACTTCCGTTTCTTTCATGAGCACTTCCTTCATGCTCAAGCAAACAACAAACCTGATTCTTGTATTGGTTTGGTACCCATAGCAAGCGTAGTCTTCCATCGTATAGAGCAGACCAAAATAAGCGTCTACAACTTTCGTGGGAAGAGCATCTAGACATAGAAAAAGATCAGTACTGTATGCCAGATGAAAGAGAGCTTGAGCAATTGCCTAACCTCGTTCCTCGAAGACATCTAAGCTCGTATGAGCAGCATAATACCATTTCAAATCCGCCTCTCCTCCGGTCTGTGGGGTGAAGTTGCGCATATAGAGGGGTTGTCCATGACGACCGATGATGGCAATTGACAAAATCTGAGGGTTAGGCATCGATGTGAGTTGGTCGAACTCTGATCTTGTGAAGTTCGAACAGTGCTGAGCGAAGGTAAGTGGTTTGTTAAGAGGTGTGATACGTGTGGGTGAAGACAACTGCACACTTGTCGACGTCGACTGCGCCATCAGCAGGCGCCGCATCGCCAGGCCGCCTGCCGTACGCGCACTGTACAAGACAATTCTTCGGAATCCATCAAGCTTGTGTGATCCAGGCCAGCTGCTTGGTCAAAGGGTAGGAAACTGTTGGAACCATACCCTCATCCCCCTTTCAAATTTCTCAAGCCAACAACAATTGCGCACATCGAAAAATCGCATTTCCTGAATTTACAAATATGCCTAGTTTCAATCGACTACCTTTCGAGATAAAGCAATTGATTGTGAAGGAGGTATATCTTTCAGATATCTCGAGCCATGTTGAAGAAAATGTCCCAGTATTTTTTCGTAAGGACAATTTCTTTACACCCAGTGATTTTAAAAATGGAGTGGCTCCTACACGTGAGTCATCTTTACAGTTTTGCCTGACTCAAGTGGGGAGGAGCTCAGCTAAAGTGATAACCTTTTCTGGCCCCACCGCTTTTTTGGCTGTCGACGTATGCGGACAGAGAGCTCGATAGCGTCGGTGACCTTGGTGAACAAACAAATGCACAGCATCTGCAAAGAATTCCTTTGTCGAGTAAGCACGACTCCCCGCCTGATCAAACAAACAGCTTCACTTATGGTGCATGATCATACTTCAGGTTCTAGATCTCCGTGGCCTGACTGCCAATGATAGAAGAATATACGAAGACTTGACAACCCATATCAACCGGTACCAGCAGTACATCCGGTCAGTGATATGTCCACTCATCGCATTCCAACAAGCCTGGCTTGATTACCACAAAGAAATGTTGGGACATCAAAAGTCGGCACTCGAATGGGCTGAACGGGTCATACAAACTTTGGACACACTTGCAAAGAGCACCACCATCAAAAAGATAGAGTTGAATCTTGCCTTCCTTCCGCCAGCGCAAGATTCAAGTAAGCCAATTATCCATCACCCATTGACTCAACAGACCCTTGATTGCGTATCAAAGTTTCAAAACCTCACCACTTTTGGTATCACCACCGATACACACTTGAAAGTTCCAGAAGACATGGTTTTAAGCGCAATCGGACAAATGACTCATCTGGAAAGTATCTCATTACACAACATTTCAAAGAGGTGTGAGGGAATAACTTTTTCATATCCAGGCTCAACTCAATCACACTCTCAACAAATCAACTCAGAAGACCAGTTTAGCAGGTGTAAGGAGCATGGCCTCGGACAATATTTGTCTCAGTCATCAACTTTAAAGGACTTGAGTCTCACAAATTCTGATTGTGTGGATAGAAGTTGGAGCAGGCTACCTTGGGAGTCAACCAAGATAGACTCAATAAATTTCAGAAATTGCTTGCCTCTCTCACCCAGATGCTTTCAATCAATCTTGAAAAAACTAAAACATACCCTGAAGTACTGTGTTTATTTTCATGCTAGGAGTTCAGAATTAGAGCTCCTTCATGCTGAGCTTGGGCCCAGTGACACTGACACTGATACAACCATTCACCCAGAAGAATTTATCTTCACGCAACTGACACATTTGGTGCTATCAGGCTTCAGTCTAGAAGAGGATGTCCTCTTTTTATTCAAAAGCTGTCCACTGGTTATGAATGCAAGTATCCATTCTCCAAACATAAGGGCACATAGTGTAACATCATTGATAAAATATTGGCCTCAACTTTCTACTCTGGATGTCAATGTGCGAGGAGGGAAAGGAAGCATAGATCTGATTCTTTATTGCTCTAGAAATGGTATTCAGCTGGATGAAGCATTTTACTAGTTAGTATTTCTTGTCACCTCAAATCAATATTGACCTTATTAAAAGTTAAATATCATACTGTCAAGGATTTTCAAATGTTCCAGGGTACAGTGGTTTGATGAAGATAACATGCCTCTGGGTATGGCCTGGGCCATAGATATCTCCTTTGTGCTTCTTCCTCACACACCACATTTCAAATCCTTGTATCATATTATTATTTCCCTCATTTCTATGTACCACTTTTCACAGACTTCCTCCATAGCTAATCTTCTGATCATCTCATATGACTCATATTATGTGAATCCTGATTCCAAAATTTCAAAAAAGGTCTCAACTGCACCTCTTCATAACACTTCATCACCATGTCCTTGTGGCAGTCGCCCGACAACGAGTGCACACGAACTCCCATTGAGGCACAAAGGCGACTTGTGTGCGCTCGTCGATGAGCAAACACCACACGGGCATGGTGCATGATTTTGGAGAATAGTTTGAGAAGATTTGAAATGAAACATACTTGAAGGGGCACAAAATATGCTGTCACAGTCTGAGTTCCAAACAGCTTTTGTGCTGGTTGGGAGGTCTTGATTACTCTACCAGATAGCTTCAAACTTGAAATTGGAGATAAGTTCCATTTTTACGAGTTTCAGCTTAAATTGATCAAGGATAGCTATTCATACTGCAGACTGTAGTCCAAAATACTGCCAAGCTATTGTCCAAAGATTATGCTACTTGATATGTTGAGGAACAGTGGCCACTGACTTTCTGGGGGGTCTAGATAAGAGATGATTCAATTAAAATACAGGTTCTTATTGGGTAAACTTGACAAATTGCTCCCTTGGAGAGATGGGTGAGTATTCAAGAGAGGGACTTATGGCTACCCTGTTCTCACTAAGACTTTCTCAAGGTACCCTGATCTCATTAGGCCCTTCTCAAGGCCTTGTATGTCTCCTGGTTCTGGTTTCAGCCTACCACAAATTCAATTGATAGAGAGTCTTGCATCCTGCAGCCATTATGGGTGGAATCAATCCGTCACCCATCTGTATTTTGACAGCCTGGGTGGAGTATTTGCAACAGGAACCTTTGGCCTAGATCTGCAACTTATTCTGGGCAGAAAAAATTGTCTGCCAAGCTATATCTTCAGATTCTGGGCGGAAGAAATCTTCCACCCAGAACAAAATCTCCCAATTACAGTTGGGCAGCAGGAATACTGTACCCAACAGCCAAGTTGGGTGGTTGCGCGCAATGCAATAAATTCCTTTCAAACCCAAAAACTCACAACACAGCAGGGAATTGCAAAACCTGTTGTGTTTCCCGCAATGGAATCAGTTTGGCAATTGATGTTTTTGTTATAGTAAGTTTTCTTCAAATAGAATTAAAGCACTAAAACTTCTAGAGTCTGATATTTTGCAACCTGTAACATGAGATAGAAAAAGAAGTTTTTAAACAACGCATGCACCCTAAAGGGTGGAAGTGTTTTAAGATACAAGCCCCATTGTGTGGGACAGTGAGTAAATAAAGAATTCTCCAAAGTCACTGACTATAACTGTATACTACTGTGTTGATAATGAGATTGGATGAAAGATACAATTTGATTTCAACAAAAGATGATACCATGAGGGAAGAAGAGATAGGAAGAGATACATTGATTCTGGTTTGTATAAGACAACCCATCCTTTACCATCTCACTGCTATTTGCTTCTATCAGATCAGAATCTTGGTTTTCCTCTTTTTAGATGTTTTTATTCCTGTGAAATATTACTGACCAAACTTTCATTACCGGCCCTGATTCCCTTCTGTCAAACCTATGTTATAACTACAAGAAAAGGGCTGTTGCTCCATCAACTTAAGAATTGAAAAAGAGTGAAAATTTGAAAAGAGGACGCATCATATGATCATTTTCTAGATTTTTTACCTCAAAAAGCCTCAATGTCTTTGTTGACCACCTGTTGTGGGGTCGCATTGCTCGCAACGGAGTCACAACCACAGTGCAATGGGGTGAAACCTTACACCTCATTGAGCAATGCACCAGGCAATGGTCTGATCTGGTGTGTTGTGTTGCATTGCTTTGTGGGGTTTTTCCCGTTGCTCAGCATTGCTCAATGTTGTTCACTCAGAGCAACACACTGGCCCAATGTTGCCAACAAGGGTTGAGTTGGCTCTCCTCAGCCACTAACACTGTAATTTTACTGTCTATCAAATGAAGAAGCCACCCAAACCCTACGTGTCAATTAAAATCATCTTAAAGATTCTGACAATGTACCTTGAGCCAGGCTCAGCTATGGGGATATTTGATACATTATTGAGGTGCAAGGAGATCTCTGAAGCTTCCGTTCAGATCCTGCAAGTTTTTGGACCACTCCCAACTCAATAGTGTTCCTCTTGGACAAGCAATCAGTTTAGAGAGGTTTTCTCAGCTGACAGTGACTGCTACCTTAACTAAATTCCTCTATTTAAACAATTTTTCCTCACAAGATTGGGTGTCTGGAGAGGGCCTTGAGAATTATCAGCTACTTTTGGTGCGCAGTCAGGGGGTCCAAATTTGAAGTTTGGCTTGGTGGTTTTTTAAAAGCTCAAAAGCTCCCACTTCCTGTCAATCAACCCCCATGCCCAATTCAACTGGTTATATCTGTACCCAATGCCATTATATCTGTCTATTCAGATTTATGTATTGCAATCTGAGCTTTCTCAAGAAAGAAAGAAGGGTTTTGAAATTCAAACTTGGTGACTGTATCTTTGGAACAAAATTTACGGTCTAGATAAGGGTTTCCTCCTTCTCTTTTGAGAGGACTAATAATAAATCAATCAAATTTGTTCAAAAACAAAAGTTGCTCATTTTGCTGTTCTTAAGACTTTGCTCTCCTCAGAATTGATGTATTGCACCAGCTATGGAAGATGCAAGACTGTATAAGACTGGGGCTTTTTGGGTCCCTGTTTGCACACCAAAACTAGCTGATAAGTTGCAATTTCCTCTTGATGACTCTAGGGAGCCAAGTTCGCACAGGTTAAAAAGCCCTGCGAGAAATTGGGACTTGTGATAAGTTTGGCAGTGTATCCTCACCTGCGGGAGTGCATGTCTCAGTTTTTCTTATCTGCGCAGGTCAGGCCGCGCAGGGTCCCCGACCTCGATACGACATCAGCGCAAGAACCATGCCAAATTTCAGCTAGGATAGTGTCTCAAGGTGTCGAGCCTCTACATTTACGCGGTGATTCATGTTTGATCCTCCTTAAGTACCGGCATGATTCACAGCAATGCCTGAGGCCAGTGATGCCATCTCGCAATGATGCTTGGGGCTATACTCGGCCTACAGTTGCAGATGCGCTTACATTTGGAGCTAAATAGTGCGAAATGCATCTCGAGTAGAACCATGATCTTTTCCAAAAGGACCATCCCATTTCACATCGGCATGACTTTCGAGATCGAGCTTCTAAAAGACAGACACTCCGCAAATCGGCAGGATTCTCTACAGGCCGATGTTCTACGGGCAACACTGAAACACACCTTCCTAGTGTACGCCGGCATGGGGCGACACTAACGTACATCTATGATCTGGCGTGAAAAAGTTCAGTCCCCTGTTTCGCAAGCAATGGCCGAAGTTCCCGAAACAATTCGACAAACTTCAACGGTATCCTGTGTAAAAGAAGGGCACACGTGAGCACGGAAAAATCCCTCTCTATGCGAAGTAGTAGCAATGGAAAAGCACTCACAGCACATGATAATGATATCATCAATCACCATATTTACGACTGTTTTTGTGAGTTTCGACGTTCTTTTTTCATCTTGTCCCAGATGGTTGAGCTCATGTTTTTCGCCAATATTTATTCTGTAGCGAAAGGTGGGAGCTCTCTTCATTTTGGACAAGGGTATAAAGTTAGTTTTTTTAACAAATCAACATCACAATTATAACAAAATCAACTGGATAACAATGAAATAGAGAGAAAGTTGAATATACCTTGACAAAAACTACACTGAGAGAGAATAGGTCTGGGGAGCTCGGGCAATCTGTGCTAACTCGCGATAGGAAGTGTAGCCAGAATCTGAGCATAGAGGCTAACCCTCATTGCAAAGTGTCGGCATCATATAATAGTATAGATATGTACATAAGCAACTGACTCAAAGCATAAAGTAGCCGTCCACTATCAAAGTTATAATCAAAAGTGGGAAAGTGAACAAGAGTTCAAAATCATCCACAGATAATATGATGATCAATTGTGGGACTTTGGTAAAGAGATGGTTCTCGAGAAGAGGTAAACCGCTTTGTAATGACGCAACATGGAAAATTACACATCGTTTGTCACTGCGACGTCACGATGACTCCTTGTACTATTCTCGTTTCTAGAAGCTCGCTACTAGCTAGTTCCCCAGATTCAACTTTGTAAAGAATTCTTAGAGTCGAACAATCATATCATAATCTAGAAATGAAACCATCATAGCACGCGGTCAGATCAAGCAACAAAATAATAATGAAATCTTAGCAACGTGATTCCAATTAATCATAACACAATCTGCCTTTCGGGCAATCTACCTGGGATCTAGATATGCGGAGTTTCGAGCTTCTCATAACTCACCCCTGATTCACCCTGACAAGGTTTAGGCTTGCAGAACAGATGTGTGTTGTTGAAGCTCGTATGGTGGTTCGAGCCTTCCGAGACGTCTCCTATGTAGAAGTGCCTCTTTTCATGCCGGCCGCGACTTCGTAATGATTGTTCATAAGATAAGATGAAACATGGAAGCAGGTTTCTCTATGCTCTGCCCGCAATATCCTTGTTGTAACGCAGCAAGTCTATGCGGGATCGGCGCAGTCGCGGTTCGGGCTGTTTTGTAGTATTGATTGCAACGTGCTCGATTTCTGATCATAATGTGATGCAATGCAATTCTATGCGGTTGAGATTTGCGTGCAGAAGGCTTCAAACGTTCATCTTTTTTGTACGTATGGCCGAGTACCGTGACTTGTGATCTTGGGAAGGAGGCGCGCGCGCCGTGGAACGCGAGATTCGGGATCATGCAGTTGATGGAGTGCTCC